ATATATATATCAATCATAATTAATGAATCATGATAATTTTTTATAAATATCTTAAATATTTCCTAATATAAGTATGTATTATGGTTTGTAAGAATTACATGATTTGTAAACTACATATACATATACATATATATGTGTGTGTGTGTCTCTTTCTCTCTGTATATACATACATATATATATATATATATATATATATATATATATAGAGAGAGAGAGAGAGAGAGAGAGGGGGGGGGAGGTTCATGAAAAAACTCCCAAAAAATGAAAAATTGAGGAAAACCATTTATCTGAACGGTGCATACCATAAAATTGTTTACAACTTACTTGTATGCACATGTGAATATCGTCCAGATGAATTGTTACCAGAGTGTTTCTTAATTTTTAATTTTTTACGGTTTTTTTTCCTAAATCTGACCCTACACACACACACACACACACATATATATATATATATATATGTATATATATATGTATATATATTTGCTGGTAGGTTTCAAAAAGAAAATTCTCGTGTTTTATGAAAATCCTAGAACACTTATAGGCCTTCAAATAGATTAACCCATAATAAGAATTAGAATATATAAAAATGAATTAGTATTCGTCAACAATTTATATTTATCTTAGATTTGACTTTATACTTTAAATATTGTTGAAATTATTGAAGAGTTCTTATATTGATGCCTCTATTGTCGAAATTACTGAAAAGTTCTTATGTCGATGCCTAAGTTGTCGATAATGACGTGATTTGTAATACTGCTTTCATAAATCAAAAACTTCTTATGATATGGTTTTGTTATGGTAAGTTGAAAAAACCATCGATGTCTACAATCATCAACTTTGTCTGTCGATTATGTGATTTACAACTTTTTTTCCCATTTAATATTTTACCGTTCCATCAATCCTTCCAAAATGACTTGGAACAAAACGATGAGTTAACAAATGTTCAAGCATTTGCATAAATTATAGGTGTTCTCATTTAAACTCAATGAATTATAAAAACTAACAAATCAGTTTTTATGTGTTATTTCATATGATATTTATACAATATCGTTTTATTTGAAAGGTCTAGTACTATTTTATAAATAAAAAAAACATCATAAAACGTTCATATATAAAACATCTTAAAAAGCTATGTAACTAAAAAAACACACATAACACACCAAATCTTTTTTTTTCATTGACCTGAATATCCATCCTGCTATGTGAGTTAACTAATCTCAGAACAATCACCCGCTTTGTGGGTAGCTCAAAGTCACCGCATTTGAACATCTATGGCCACAAGGGGATTTTTTATTCCTCCTTGGATTCGAACCTGAGACCTCCAGACACTTTTGATCTTTAAAGTCCAAACTTAAACCAATCAAACACCACCCTAATGGTTCCAAATCTATTTATGTCAAAAGATATTGCAAACCTACAAGCAATCTTGAGGACCTCATTATTTCAATCCACAATCATGTGGCCTTGGAAGATTGCAAATCAATGATGAAAATGACTATAAACACCACCTTTTCAAACTCCTTGATTCATTAATTTTCTTTATTTTTTCAAACCACATTTTGTCTCCCATCTTTCAACAAACAAATCCATCAGTTCTTCCCTATTGGTGTTTCACATAGATCATGGACTTCTGGGTGGTTGCAGCCGCTACCGGTGCCGGTTATGTGGCCAAGCACTGGCAGCACCTATCGGGCGAGAAAGATGGCTCATCGAACCCATCACCTATGCCATCACCACGACTGCAACCAGATCCATCCCAAGCGTTCAGCAAAATCCCCAACTCGGTTTTCCCACCGCCACTTTCTGGTCCACCTCCAATCTTTATCGAGAAACAGGTACTTCAAGACGACTTGAGTGAAATCAAAGGAAAACCCGACTACTTTGACACTTCAAACCATCGTTTACATGAACTCAGAACCAATAATACGAATGGCAAGTCATTCTCTAGTCTAAGACCCTTAGTGGTCACTAGTAGCAGGAGAGATTCTGGACGAAAACAATCAACACAAGTTGATGATGTAAAAGATCGTAAGATCGTGTTCATGGATGAAACTGGCACATCCGTGGAAGCGTTGTTCTTCGAACAAGATGGATCAGTGAAACTTCCAAGAAGATCAAAACAAATGTACGTCAAGAGATTTGAAACAAGCAACGATATCGTGCCCTTGTTCCTCGGGATTGCAATTGGGATATTGTCAACTACTGTGAATAATCAGCATGAAGTTGAGCATCTAAACGAGCTGCTAGAAGAAGCTGAAAGTATGGTTCGAGATTTACACAACCACCTTGAAACAAACGACGGGATTACGATAAACGAGCATGGCACTGAGACGATAAAAACTGCAACCAGTAGTCCAAAACCCAACAACTTTGAGTTAACAAGTGACATCGAGGCCGAGCTCGAGGCCGAGCTTGTTAGATTGGAACAAAATATGACTAATGTGGAGGTAAGCAACAATCTCATTTCCAAATCGACAGGTTATCTAGCTGATAAACTAGTTGTTGGCTGATAAAGCTGCCTATTAGCTGAAAAGTTGGTTGTAGACTAATAAGATAATTGTTAGCTGGTAAACTAATAATGTCTGGTATAAACTAACTGATAAACTAGATGAGAATGTAAATTAATCTAAAGTAAATTAATAATGTTTGGTATAAATTAGATGACAATATAAATAAATCTAAAAAGACGTTTAACTGGAAAAATATAAGGGGTATAATTAGAAAAAAGGTATAAAATAACCCTAGAGCTTGTTGAAACGTTGCTCGAAGTAGTTTTTCAAAAAGCTAGCTTATAGCTAATCAAACTAAGCTTATTGAATAAACTCAAAAAAATAAGCTAGCTTATGGTTTCCAAGGCACAAGATACAAGTGTTTATACCATGGTTGGAATTTTTTTTGCAGGTTGACTCGGACATTGAAACATACATGGCTAGAGGAGACTTGAACCTAGATGCCATCACCTGGCAACTCGATAGCCGATCTGAATCAGACCACAGTGACAAAAGCGAAAGCACCGGCAGACCCGTTTTCACTCCAAACTACGTGGTTTCGCCACTTGAGTTACGGCTACGCCTTCATGAAGTAATCGAGTCAGAACTCCGAGCCCGTATCGAGGAGCTCGAAGCCATTCTCGAGAACCGAAACAGCCAAAGTAAGCCTCATTCTCCAGAACCACAAGAAGAAAACTCTTTCTGGGACTTTGATCACACCAGAATCGAATCTTCTTCATCAAGCCCTTAAAACTGCATAAAACATCATAAAGAGTACAACCATAGAAGCGCAAATTGCACATATCAAAAGGTATTCATGGTATGGATCAAGAAATGAGAAAGAAATGCATAGATTCAGCTGCAAAATTTTCCAGATAAAGATGACTGAAAAAGTTATTCTGCGATCTTTATATTCAAGATCCGACTGCTTTGAAGGGAATTCTTCCTTTTATGAGAAAATCTACAGAGGGAAAATTTTCTTATGTTTGAAATAAAGCAAGAAACATATATACAAGACTCCACATAAGGTGACGCTGACAGAAACGACCCACTGGAATCTGTTTGGCTCATTGAAAACGTTGTCTTCGAAGTTCATTCCGAATACCGCTGTGACGACAGCAAATACCGTAGCCAAAAAAGTAGCGGCTGTCAAGAGCAGCTCAAACTTAATCAGCTGATTCTGAATATTTCCCTAGTTACAAACGTTGTAAAAAACTTTATCAGTATGCTGAGATAGTTGAAATATTAACACAAAAGATGCAATGTTGATCTACTATTATTTAGCGTCTATCGATCACTACTTCAAAACCAAAAAAAAAGAGAATATTTTGCTTACAAGTTTAATGTTGATCAGATCTTCAGTGTCGTCGATGTATTCCTTAAGCTGCAGACGGATAATTTCAACAATTTTAATATCATATTGTCAAATGCTTCAGTGTCTATGACTATGATCACTATTTTCGTCGATTGCAAAAAAACGTATGATTGTTTAAAAAATGGTCTAAAATACCCTTCAACAATGACAATATAAAGGAATTGAGCACATTTGCAACTTTTTCAGATACCTCCTTACAATAGGAAGTGTATATACCATCTTGCCATAAGTGAAACAAGATATCAAAATGCTAAAAAATGTATGCACCTCAAGTTTGATTTAATTGCAAAATGACTATCCTATCCTTTAAAGGGGTCACTCTTGGCCTGAAAGTACAAATGCAAAAGTACACCTGAAGGGGTGTTTTAGGGACTCCTGTTAAAAGTCGAGTGTATGCATATTAGTTAATTTGGGACCGAGAGAGAATAAGAAACTAAAGCTTACCACAAGAAGAGAAATGCATAATAATACTCCCTCAGTCCCATGAAAATCACAGCGTTATGCTGAGCTCATAGTTTTAGAAAATATTTCAAATATTACCATTCAAATGCAAAACAAGGTGGTGAAAATGCATCCAAACGCAACGAAATTTGTCTTGGTTCCTATTCAGTGCAAAGATAGGATTTTTTTTTGTCAATTAGTGTAGAGGTTCAATTCTTCGTTACTTTGTACCCATGTACATCAATAACCTGTAGATCTTGTAACAATTATATTGTAATTCTTGATTACATGGAAAAATGCCACATCAAAATCAATCTTGCCATGTAGGTTGAAAACTCGTTTATCATGTAAAATAGTTACAAAATGGAAATAATTAAGGCAAACTTGCTACGTTTTGATGCATTTTACCCAAAAGAAAGCATATGAAAGGCACAATGACCAAGTGGTACCCGAATTACTGGGTTGTTCCTGGTGACCTGAAGGTCTGAGGGTTCAAGCCTCACTAGAAGTGAGGTTTATGCAAGTTTTATCGTATATAGTCTTTTTTAAAGAATTAGCGTCTTACCGAAAGCAACTTGTTTAGAGTATTGTCAATTCCAACAAAATACGCTTCCAGCAACATCTCAAGTTGATCAATGTTTTCAGTTTCAGCAGTTGCAGATGAACTCAACATGCTTCCATGTCTGTGTGCACTTATATTACTAAATGCCCTTTGCAATTTATGTGACCCACTCGCAGACCCAACAGGGGAAACAGGAGCGGATTTTGATCCTAATCCCACTCCAGGGCTGATTAAAATATTACCTTGTACTTGATCATATAGATCATTACACAAGTTCCTTTGTTTCTTCTCAGTTAGGTACATCTCAGCCATATCTCCATCATCATTCATTAGATGTTCTATTTCATCACAGACCTGAAAGTTTAAAAAGAAAGCTAATTACAAACGATAAAGTGGTAGCACACAATAGGTATTGGGCTAAATACTTATGTTCGATTTACTTGTACCTTTTGCACCCTTTGAGTCAATGCTAGAAGGTGGCCTTTGAATCTACGAACGCGTTCAAGATTGAGAGTACTTATTGATTTTGCTAGTTCATCAAGCACAGGATGAATTTCCATTTCCAACTCTTTCACCTATTAAATTGAAGAACAAAAACAATCATTTATTGTGCAAAATGTAACTTGATAATTTATTTCACCGTCCTTATGAGACTGAGGTATAGAACAGAATGAAAAGGGTAATCCAGGTATAACCACAGCTTCAGGTGCACCTACTATATATATATATATATATATATATATATATATATATATATATATATAAAGAGAGAGAGAGAGAAAGGGGGGGGAGGGAGGTCCAGGGGAAAACCCCCAAAAAAAGGAAAAATTGTAACCATTCATCTTAACGGTATGCATATGTGCATACAAGTAATTGAAGTTGTTTCTTGGTTTTTATGCATATGTGCATACCGAGAAAATTGCTTAAAATTACTTGTATGCATAAGTGCATACCGTCTAGATAAACGGTTACCAAGGTGTTCCTCAATTTTTCATTTTTTTGCAGTTTTCCCCCGAACCTGACCCTATATATATATATATATATATATATATATATATAGATTCATTTGAGAAGTGGTTGGTATTTGAGAAGTAGAGAAGTGATTCTAGCCCTTCATTTGGTCAAATTTGCGGCTTTGACTGTGAAGCACCGGATAATTCCTTGCATGGTATGCTAAATATAGAGAGGTAGTTTCGTAACTTTTACAAATAGGCGACAAAACAAGTGCATATCTGAACCCGTGTGATTCACATATGAACTAATTAATTGATTTACATATGAACTATGGGTTCACATATGCATTTGTTTGCCACCTATTTGTAACAGTTACGAAACTACCCCCTTATTTTTCACTTGACCAGTCAAAGCTGCAATTCTTGACCAGTCAATGCCGCAATTCTTGATCAATCTTGACCGTATGAAGGACTAGAATCACTTCTTTACTTCTCAAATACTTACCATTTCTCAAATTAACCTCTCCCTATATATATATATATGTGTGTGTGTGTGATTATTTCCAAATTTTATAGTCTAAATCCAGTAAGTAGATGTTCGCTCATGTTTGTACCTGAGTATCAAGAGTCAGGCATGTAAACTCCAAAGCTAGTTCCAACGCCCTAAACTCAAATGGTAGATCGTCTGAATGAAAACAAACAGCAAGGTCAAAAAACTTATGCAACCTAGCTCTTAGAATGTATCATACTAATATGTTGAACATGTTCATTTGTGGGTCCATTCATATATAGAAGAAATCGTAATCTGATTGTGGGTCCAGTTAGAGGAGAAAAAAGATTAACCTACAAACTAGAAAATGGAGAATGGAGGAAATGATATCAATGAACTGAAGTACCAATCACGTGTTTTCTTAATGTGTCAGTCCAAGATTTCCCTAAAATTCTAAGAAGGTAGGTGAGTTCACTTCCAGAATGTGCAAATTCCAATACTTTCCACTTATTTTTTATCATCATAACCATTGAACCAGTATAACAATGTATTATAAATCATAATAAGAAAATCTTTCTTCAGTATTACAAAAATTATATAAGAGTAACTTTTTATATTTCCATCAGTATCAGGCTAACCTAGTGAAAAGTATTATAAAAAATGTTTAGATGGGGCAGCTAGCCAGCTACTAATGAAGAAAGTAATGAATCACCATGAAATCAACTTATGGTTGATTCTTTTTCTTATTTATTTTCAATATCGATGTGGGGTTGCTGTAAATTATAAAGAAAAATGAAACATAAAATCAAATCACCATTTGAGTTTTGAGATACCGCAACACCAGTAACTATATAGAACAATCGCCAAATTTGAAGGACAAAATATGAAAATAAGTTCCCAGCAGAGTTAATACTCGCTCTGGGCTCCATCCCAAGAATCTTTTTTTGAGATATATCCCAAAACAAATGCAATATTTCTTTTCTAAGCAAACTTTCAATCAAAAACAGGGTCTACGTTTGCTATTCGAATGTCAAATTCAAAATTAGTATCAATTTTAATTCTAGCACCAAGAAGAACATCTTTTCTGTCGTATATTTTTCCACTTGCACAATCATATCAATTTTCAAAGACATGTATTTAAGAACATAGTAAACAATATATTGGATGCAACTCATACAAGAAATTAAATGAATAACTTATTGGCAGAACTAAAGTTCTAGCTTAAACATAATTGTTAAAGATAAGGCCCACCGATATTAAGAAGATTTACCTGAGTTATATTTCTCTTTCTGAAGGCGTTTGCACAATTCAGATTTGTACTGAACTACAGATCCGTCCAGCGAATTCATAAGGAACACCTCATCGGCTGTGATTATACATCTAATCTGCTCAAGACTAACCACAATAGCTTTCTCACGGCCTAATATTGTGGATGGATAAATGAAAAGAGGATCCAAAAGACGAAGATCTCTAGCCGGCAAAGAACAATGCCTCATTACAGTAGCCTTGTCTAGCTCCACAACTTTGGAGTTCCCACTTTGCTCAATTTTTATCCAAGAACGGTTTCCAAGAGTATGACCTCGCTTCTTCAACCCTGGAAAACCAGGCCCAATGAAGTTCTGGAGCCCACGCTTATCAGGGTCAGATCTTGAGCTATAACCATTAGCAGGGTCGACAACATTAGACTGAAGAAACGGATCACGTGATTCATCCATCAGATAACGCTTATCTGGATTTTGAAATTTGACCAAAAATTTATGCAGGAATATGATGTCTGCATCAGTGTGAAACCAATTGCATCTAAGCTTCACTTAGCAGTAATTCCAGCATTCTATTAGCAAACCACTGTCAAATTTAGTATACAAGTCACAGCACTTCATAAGCCTATATATCCGATATGATACCTAAATGAAAATGGAAAGTGTCACTTTGTGCTCAAAAGCAAAAGATCAATGAATAACCCTAATACCCTCCTTAAGATATGAATTTCATTTTATATGCACAACGAAGTTTTGAAGTTAAATTTTTAAATTTCTTGCATAAATCCCATCACCAAATGAATGCTAAAAGCTTTAAAAACTAAAAATTCAAAGGGATATCCAACCAACACACTACCAAGGTATTTATAAAGCTTAGAATGTTAATTGTAACAACAAATATAAAATGTACTGAAAATTATTTATAAAATATACACATGCCATTCAGCAACCAAGAAGTATGCAAGAAGATAGCAAATTACGAAAGGGAAGATATGATGGCAATAAATTTCTGTAGGACCCCAAAGAATTCACCCGGTAGCCATTAAATTAGTTTTCTAAATAATACATAGCATTCAATTTTGCTCAACAGAAGGAACTATTTACGTAAAGGATACCAAATTGAAAGAAGAACAAATCACTATGATGCATGCAGAAAATAAGTGAAGTGGGCAGAAACTAAAGGCTTCGACCTCTTCAACCCTTAAATTCTCATAAATTGAACGACAGTCTTAACCTAATTCGGCAATCAGATGGCAATTTCGCACTTCATTACGATCAATGAGATTAGAAGATTAAAATAAAAGGATAACCCCATCAACAAAATTTCAATCAATCAAATGGATTGTTATAAGAAACCCCAAATTTAACAAATCATACCTCATCCAAGGACTATAGAACCGGATTCCATGGAAAGCACTGAAAACAAACAATTGAAGAACAAGGGGTTATCATTTATTTCGAGATTGGAAGTCCGATCAGAGTGAAAGGGGAAATTGTGGCAGGGATGGTAACAAAATGTTGATCCTTCCGCTAACCGACTCATCTGAGAACATTTTCATTATGACCACGGAAAGTAGAATACCTATTTTCCTCGGTATTTATGGTAATCTACACGGTATTATAACATTTGATAAAAATTATTAAAAATTATTTTTTATATGTAAAATATTATTTAATAATATATATTACTTAAAACTTAATATTGCAAGTAGATTGTGTGTAATTATAACTTATCAAAATTTTATATCTGAATTCGTGTAACTAACTGCAGATAAATATAATCAAATACAGAATAAACATCTTATTTTAAATATATAAAATATAATTAAAATAATCATTAAGTTTTAACATAATACTTAATTATTATTTTTATAAAATATTACATTATTAAATCAAAAATAAATTATTTTATCTATACTATATTATAAAGCATTTGGCTAAAACTCTTAAAAACTCTTAAACTCTTAAAACTCTTAAACCCGTTCATC